TTCTTTCTCCTCCGTCTCCGTGGTTTCTTGGGCGGAAGTTCCTCTTGTTGTGTCTCCTGACCTGCTGTGGCCTCGTCTTCATGCCCCACACCTGACAGTATGCGATGAAGTATCGTAGCCAAGCCGTCTGGTCTTGGTAAGCATCTCCCGTCATCATCGTTCACCTTGATGTAGGGTATGTTGTCATGCACCGATAGCGGAATCTTGTTCGCGTTCTGGTCGATGAGGTATGGCAATTGATTTGCCGGCCATATGAATGAGTACCCTTGTTCCATGCACCGTTTCCCGATGGAAAAGACTGATGGTGTGCTCTCCAACACGTGTGCCTCGGACTTCATGGGTAGTTCGTCCACATTGATGTCCACCATCTCTGATGTACTGGTTACACCATTCGCTGTCATGAAGCTCACGGATTTGGGCCCTTCCTTGGTGGTAAGGCCCATGGCATTGACTTTCTCTCTTGAGATCAAATCGTGTCCACATCCCGTGTCCATGATGAAGCGTATTGGTGGCCCATCATACCTCTCCACAGCCATGAACATCGTGTCTCCTGGTACCGTGTAGTTGACAGAATCCTTCCTTACTACCTCGCTGGTGTTGAAATCAGACAGGTCGACGTTCACCTCGATTCCTTCATCTTGAGTGATTTGTATCCATGCCTTGGCGATGTATTCAGCAGAGAATAGCTCCATCATCTTACCTTTGGCATGTGCTACTCGTGCAGCTATATTGCTCACTCTGAGGGCTCTCAACGATGAAATGAACTCGGTATCCACCTTCTGCACCTCATTCTTCTTCTTCCTGAGGGGACGGATGTTTAGCTCATTACCAGGATCGCAGGTGAACGTGGTCACGTTCGCCTGGTCATCAAATCTGACTTTACAGCGAAGCGCCAGCTCACCTTGTTGTACGTTAGGAAGTGCGGGTTGTACGTCCTCGTCATCACTCTCGATGTCTCCGCAAAGCATGAAGGCTGGCGCAGCCGGTTTGGGCTTGGCTTTGCCTTTAGCCTCCTGTTTTGTAGCAGGAGCAGCTTGATGCTGACGTCGACATTTGTCCCCGAACTTGCACGATCCTTTCTGCCAATTCCAACAGACCTGATCCTTCATTGGCTTAGGGCTACTGCTCCTGCCACCAGGACTCTTTGATCTGTCACCCTTGAGGCTTTCTGGTTTCTTGGCAGAACTTTTGCGCTTCTCTTGGTGACTAAACTTGCATTTGTCTCCTCTAGAACATCCGTTTTTCCCATGGAAGTGGAAGGCGCATCCTATCTTGGACGTATCCGCTGGAGTCGCTGACCTGCCACGATCCCCTTTTGGGCTCTCCGTGGTTGATCTTCCCCGATCCTGCTTCTTGTCCTTCTTGTTGTGGTCCTTCGGATTAGCCTGAGGAAGTACTGGAGCGGCGTCATGTTTCGGTGGATCGGCCTTGGTATTCTTGGGTTTCGCTTTAGGGTCCTTCTTCTCCGCCGCTGGTGTGGCTTTCACGAGGTTCCCAAAAGCTTTTTCCCTTTCTTTCTTGTTTGTGGTCTCGATCGATTTCCGTATCCACTTCGCCATGATCTCTCGTAACCTCTGGTAGGTCTTATCCGGATCCTTATCCAACATGTTGTCGTACACAGACAAGTCTAACGCCATAACCTTGGAATCCTTAATCTTATCCCAAAGCAGGTTGCGAAGTGCTTTGTCAGGAAGCATGTCATCCGCATCCATACCTGATATGATCTCATCCCACTGTCCAAGGAATCTGGATAGTTGATTATCCCCAGGGAACTTTAGATCGAATAAATGCTTGGATGCATACATCACATCGACGTTGTCGGCACTCCGGAAACTGTCGACGATCAACGCTAACATTTCTCGTCCCTTGACCATCCCAGGAGTTGTGCCTCTCGCACGTCTCTGCATCATCTGCCTCACTTTCAGTTGTACGTCATGAGATCTCTCACCTGCTGCGTGGATGATCGTATGTAGGGTGATACCTAGCTTAGCGTCTATGCTAGCGAATCTTGCTTCGCCTGATGTCTCGAGTAGAAATGGGTCATATGGTGATCTGAAGGCATCCGAGAGCCATTGGATCCAATCTTCTTGTTTCTCGTCGCCCGATGCCGTCACGACTGCCGCTACAACCTGAGATTTCCAAACCTCCAGGTCGTGTATCTTGGGCCATGCAGGGATGTTGATCTTCTCGTGTTCCTTCCGAGATATCTTGGAGCCACCTGAGCTGGAGGATGAAGCGGCACCATGTTCGGTTGCGGCTGCATTCTCTGCACTCATGCGCTCCTCTTCGTACCTCTTCCGGTACTTATTTCTCTCATCTCTGAGCCGTGATGCATGCGCTTCGAATTCCATCATGTCCTGTTGGTTCTGCATCATACCTTCGTAGTATTCAATTGCCTCTTTCTCCTCGGACCTTAATGACTTTTCAGTACGTTCAAGTTCCGCTCTAAGCTTGGTCATCATCTCACTCTCCACACTGGGTTCTGACCCCATGTCTGGTGGTTTCAACTTCAGTGCGACCTTCAATTGTGCTTCACTTGCGCTTGATTCGATCAATTCTTCCTGAAGACATTTCAGCATCCTCTCTTTACGTAGAATGTCCTCTTCCAACATGTTCACCTTGACTTCGGCCTTCTTGAGTTCGGCGCTGGATGGTTGAAGAGGTCGATCGGATCTTTGAATCCTCGTCTGAGTCAACTCCTCGTTCGCCTTCTTCAATTGCTCTCTGATACTCAAGATGAACTTGTCCTGAGTATTAGACCGGTTGTTGAGCTCCTCATTCTCTTCTGATAACCATTTGATCTTGCTTGCAAATATTGCTTCCCTCATCTTCATCTCTTCATCATATTCGTGTTTGTTTCTGGCACTCTGCCTTTGTAGTCCAACTAACTCCTGTCTACACAAGTCCTTGACGTTCTCAGCATCTGCGATTGTAGTCATGACCTCGGTTACGGCTCGATCTCTTTCTGCCGATATAGCCTGGATCTCTTCCGTGCCGATGTTCACAACTTGACTAACCATCTCTGCGCTGTTGCGATCAGCGTACTCCCCTAACTGGGTGAAACGATCCCGCATTGCCACACGATCAGTATCCATCTGATATTGCAGGTCGTGTGCTGCTGAGAGCAAACAGTCTCTGGATTCTGTAAGTTGGGTGATTCTTCGTTGATTTCCATATCCTTCGACATAACATTCTTCGAGGTGTGCCATCACTACTTCGTGGACTTCGGTCTCGTGTTGTATGATCTGGTTCTGTCTCTGCTCACATTCGACCATCCATGCGTTTTGGTGGTTCAACATATGCACTTCGGCAAGTAGTTGCGCACACTTTGCATTCAGGTCTCCATCGGCCCGTGCTAGCTGTAGGTTGTCAGTGCTTGCCCTTGCTCCATCTCCAGCTTCGCTGTCCGACGGCACTGGTACAGCTGACCCATCCTCCAATGCTAGCACTCTCACAGCTCCGGTGTCAGTCCTCCTCCTTGTCTCCCTAGGGCTACGGCCTGATCTCGGTGTCCCCCCCGGTGGTGTCGAGTGCGCTGACGGGGAACGACTTCGTGTCCTACCTGTCGCATCTTCTCTCACCGCTGTCAGAGTCTCCGCCTCGATCGTACCTGGACTAGAGTTGTGGGATGCACTCATCCGATCTGCGGCCGCAGCAGCTGCTCCAAAAGATGCAGTGCTGGCGTCGGATTGGTCCATCTTCAGTGACTGAGGGTAACTGATCTATCCGATGCGTGTGCGTTTAGATGGTGTTGTGTAAGGCCGCAGCTCGTACCCAGCTCAAAGGAGTCTGGATACGGCTGATAACCTGCGAACGGATGGAAAGGTGTGCCCTGGCCCCGTTCTAGCCCTTAGTTCAACATGAAGCTCGCGCGCTAAAGCTCCTTTTTACCTGGTTGGGCACTTGAGCCAAAAGTATATGGCATGTACCTGTATAGCGACTATACTGGGACCCCATCCCTATTGACACGAAAAATAGGCCTAAAGTCTTGCAACTCAAGCCACTCAAGTGCAAGACTTAAGTGCAAGCTATGTCTTCTTTTGTTGCGGAGCCGTGGCAAGCTGTGTCTTCAAGTCATTGCGCATGGGATCAGCTTACCTTCGCTCATCACATTCGCTGTTTACAGCGTTCAGTCTAGCCAGTTGGGAGTGGCGCTTCTCCCAGGTGCCTCACCTGGCGAAGACCAGGCGACAAGAAGCTACTAGTAGCAAGGTGCCTTACTTCTGGAAGGTGCGCTGTGCACACACTGTGCACACACTATGCACAGCAGGCCTGATGTCCTTCAAAGTCAAGTTTGCGAATCATCTTGTCTTCAGGAAGCCAAAAATGGAGTACCTCGAGCACAAGCCCGGCAGTGCTCTCCATCTCTTTTGTCAGTTTGTCTGCTTGGTCACTTCTTTCTCATTCCCATCCACCAAAATGGCATTAAGATGAACACCTGCCACGCTGAAGCTGCTGGAATGTCAAGGAACGCGGACAGTAGCGATGCCCTTGCTACCAGTAGAGATGCACTTGTTACTAGTAGCTTCCTTGTTCCTAATAGTACGGCCTGGAGCCCCTAGTAGCGTCCTTGTTCCTAGTAGCGATGTCCTTTGCTCCTAGTAGCTTCTTGTTCCTAGCTTGGTATCAAGAATCCGACCACAATCAAGATTGCACCGATGATCCACGGCCTCAGCTTGGAATAAGCGAACAGTTGGACTTGATCTGAAACAAACGCCACAAGCATCCGTGAACTGCGACACTGACACTGTCTGGATCTGAGGTGTCGCAGCTGCCTGAGAAAGCTTGCAAGTAATGGCCTCTAACCTAGTAGCGATGGCCTCCAACTAGCATGAAAGAAATCTGGCAAAGCAAAAAGCAGAACATACGTAAAAACCATGGCCTCCACTTCGACCATACGTGCAAAGCGCTAGAATGACGTCCGGAATTGTCGATAAATGTATGTCTGTGATCGTTTCAAGTATCTCCTTTCACTTTACATTATTTATTGTTATTCTTTTTTCTGAGTCAGTGTTTCTACATGAAGCTGGTTCAGCATCACCATTTAAAGGAAAGCTGGCCTCACCCCATTAGGTGGAAAGTGCTGCTTGAATTCGGTTCACAGTTGTAGAATTGGAAGCAACTTGATACTGTACAGGAAACAAGCATCCGCATCAGAGTGAAAGTTGTAATCATGAAAGAACAAACGATGGAATGATGACTCATGCAGAATGCCCGACAAAGCTCAGGAGTCAATCAATTGTCGATACGATACCTGTCCAACGCTGATTGGCATAGTACTACGCTGTTCAAAACACCAGGAGTGTAGACAATGCCAAAAGTTCATCTGAGCTGTTTTTCTGAAAGCTCAGAAGCGCAGCAAGCGATGTCCAACTGCAGCAGATGCGGAGCGCTTTCAAGACACAATGCTTTCCAAGCATTCTTCACACGAGAAAATCATCAGCGCCAGCTTTCAGGTGTGACCCCACTACATTCGCTCTAAAAGAGTCCAAGAGGATCCTAAGTGGCTCAAGTGCCTCATCGCAAGCCACGCGAGGGTGCTGCCTGGCCACATTACGCTCAAAACCAGGACAAGGACTGGAAAGAATCCGGAACAAGGAAAGTCGAAGAGACACTGAGTTTGTCACCATACTACTAATACACCCAATACTGTAATCTAATACTAACATCGTCAAAACCGTCCGATCTAGAGATTGAACCTCTCTAACGGTTCTCCTCTTCTTGCAAATGTTCTGAGAAATGATCTCTGTTCTGGTTTTCGCTAGCATTAGTAGATCAGTCTCAGAAGCTCCTCATTTGCCCAAGGCGGCGGGGTTTTTCAATCTTCCGGAGGCTCCATTAAAGTAAAAGGGTCTTTGATTGGCTTGGACATGCACTTGAACACCCAAGCAGCTGTCTGTTTGCAGGTCAGCGCTTGCGTTCGACTTGCAGTGGCAGATCGACAATCGCCAATGGTTCGGTGCAGGCTCCTTGCTCCTAATAGTGTCCTTTGCTCCTAATGGCGTCCTTGTTACTAGTAGCGATGCCCTTTGTCCCTTAGTAGCGTCCTCTTGCTCCTAGTAGTAAGGCCAGGAGCCCCAAGTAGCGTCCTTGCTTCTGAGCATTGATGTGTCTTCAAGGCAAGGCAAAGTTGACTCGACGCCACCCGATCGAAACATGCACTGCAGCCCGTTGGTAACCCCCTTGCGCAGCTCGGCTGGTTCAAGCAATCGTGGCCCCAAGGCTTATGCGGGTCTGCAAAGAAAGGATGGAAACAATGTTGTTCGCACAGCGAGGGCGAAATGTGTCCCAAAATTAATGAGCAGCTCTGAGGCTATATGTGACTACGTGGTTCGGCACAATCTCATGGGATTGCGAGCTGCCGGAAGAGACCGTGGCGATGCAGCCGGATTTTCACGTTTCCAAGGATCAAGATCGAGCAAGCGACCAAAATGTTTGACATTCCGAACCTGAGACCATGCAGTCATTTAGTTTAGCCTTTGTCGCCAGTAGAAAAGGATAGCAAAAAAGTAAGGTTACAAGAGCATAATAGTATAGACCACAGAGGCATTCTGGAATGTCAGGGAAATGAGCACAAAAGAAAACATAATCAAAACAATGCACAAACTTGATCACCCCGTTTCAACCATGGACCATGCAGATTGCAGATTTTAGCCTCTCAAAGAAAGACTCTTACTAGCGATGGCCTCCAACCTACTAGCGATGGCCTTCAACCTAGCGAAAGAAAGACTCTTAACATCTCTTAAGCGATGCCCTTCGCTCCTAGTTGCATCCTCTTGCTCCTAGTAGTAAGGTCCTTGCTCCTAGTAGCGATGCCAGGAGCCCCTAGTAGCGTCCTAACCGCCGGGCCCCTGGTCCCAGAATGCGGGTGAACTACTAGTAAGGCACTTGTTACTAGTAGCTTCTTGTTACTAGTAGTAAGGCACGTGTTACTAGAAGCGATGCACTTGTTCCTAGTAGCTTCTTGTTACTACTAGTAAGGCACTTGTTACTACTAGCGTGGCACTTGTTACTACTAGCTTCAGCCCGACCTGAGACAAGATTCGGCGAGAGCTCTGGCCATTGGGCTTCCGAGAGCCACCGGCACTAGGCCTCGTGAATGGCGAACCAAAGGCAGAAAGAGCTTTTACAAAAGCACTTCAAAGCAGGTTGGGGCTGGGGTAAACTAAAACTTGTTGACACCATCTTGATTCTCTGAATCTACTAGGGGCTCCTGGCCGTACTACTAGTTGCTTCACAGGCTCCAGCGCATTTCAGTCACTGAGTGCTGAACCCTCGAACCATGGCACCTGCGCTTGGCACTTTCGTGCGAGTTTATCATGTCAAATTCCCTCTGGGCTTGTGTGTACTTATTTCGAGTTCCGCCTGGCCACAGGTGCCACTGGAAAAGCATTATCCAACACTTTCCAATGAAATCCTTATATCCTTCATGCTTTCCACAAAAACCCAGCGTTAGCCTTGGTGCTCAAAGATGCAATTGAGTGCACTGACCACGGCGGCATCAAGAACAGAGTACATGCATGCGGTCTTGGATGCTACTGCGATCTTGGTGTTGTTCGAGCACAGTGTTCCATGTTGGTCGCTGCCAAACGTTCTTGGGCACATGTAAGTCTTCTCTTTGTTTGTTGACGCTAGAAATAGATCATAAATGAATAAAGTGATATAAATGGCAAGATCCCGGCAACAGAAACTGAACAACCATCAAACACCATTGTGCACCTCTAGCGGAGTCGATTGACGCGCTTGTTGGCGTCCCCGGCCTTAAAACAACCGGAAGCCCAAACACAACAGCCGCATACAACCGCTATCACACAAATCCGAAGAACTTGTCCACTCTTCTGCAACTTGACTCTTGACATATCATCATCTCTCTTCAAATTATATCACAATAGCAATGGCCTCCAACCTAGTAGCGATGGCCTCCAACCCCCTCCAACCTAATAGGAATGGCCTCCCACTGGTCCCAAATGATTTGCTTGAGTGTAAGTGTCAGAGAGAGTCTGAGTCACTAGTAGTAACAAGAAGCTAGTAGTAACAAGTGCCACGCTAGTAGT